CAAACAATAAAAATCAGCATTTTCCTGTTCTGACAAGCTTGGCGGTCGGTTTTATTAATTTCATAGATGCCGAGGCGACGCGCGACGGTCGCTTTCAATTGGCGATACTTGTTATTGCAGGAATTTTCCTGTTATAAATTGTCTGCCTAATAGAATATAAAAGGAGGTGATTCATTTGACAAATTGTACTGAGTCTGTACCCAAGTTAATTAAAAGTGAACAAGTGAAGTGTAAAATAAAAATGAGCAGAAAGACGAAATTTGGAATTATTTTATAAAAAAAAAAAAACCAGAAAAAGGAAAAACTGGTAGCAGAGTGGTGTGTAAAAATTGCAAAAAAGAATTGCAAGGACTTGTTCAAAGATTAAAAGGCCATCATGAAAAGTGCAAGACCAAGACATTACCCGTAGATACAGAAGTCGCTGAAACCAAGTAATGAAGTTGATATAACTGCAGGTATTCTAAATCTAAATAATTACTTATTTTATTTAAGGGGATCTTGCGCCACCCATAAAATTAAGCATTGAAATCCAAAACACAGTATTAATATGTACGATAAACTTATGTGACGCGGTTTAAACATAAACAGGGTCTCAAAAATTATATTTTTTTGCGGTTTTTGTAGATTTTGAAAAAAGTATTTTCTCATCTTCTATTAAAATATAGAATAATTTGGGGTTGTGGATAAGTCTTTATTGAATTAGGCTATTAGGTATTACAGAAAAATGAAAAAATAAAAAATTGTTTTTACTTTTTCATTTTTTTTTTTAATTGTGCCACTTTTGGATACAGATTCACGAAATAGATTTTGTTTTTAATTTGATTGGCAAACACAAGAGAAAAGTTGTTATAAGCTCTGATCTGAGGTTTCCGCTAAACTCTGTGCATTCATATTTTGGATTTGTCAATCTGCCTGAAAAAAGTCAAAATACACAATTATTGGACAGTATATTCACAGACCACAGTATCAATTTTTGTTCCATAAATATAAATAAACGAGTATTATAAGAAGCCTATACAGTGTGTTTCACTTGAAATGGTAACACTCCAATAATTTTTTTATTTTTGGTTGAATTTCAAGAAATTTTTTTCTTTATATGTAGCTTTTAACGCTCTTTTAAAGGGTCATTTTAACCTAATTGAAATAGTAGCCTATTGTGATCAAAAATAAAGGGAAAAAATTTAAAAAACATTTTTTTTTCGAAAAAGTTTATTGAGAAAACTTGTTCGGAATCACCTTAAAACCCTAATTTCCAAGTTTGGTTAAAAAAAAGTTCACCCCAAAAATCAGCAGTAAAATTAATCTCAATGTTATTATCACGATTGCCATGAATTATTAACAATATCAAATTATCATGAGATCTGTCACATAAACCATTGATATCATTGTGTCAAACTATTAAAATATTGGTGATATTTATTGTTTAAATAATTTAATTACGGCTGCAGAAAGGCTAATTACTTTTTTTTGTGAACTTTTTTTTACCAAACTTAGGTGATTCCGAACAACTTTTCCCAATAAACTTCGAAAAAAATCCCTAATATATTTTTACAATTTTTTTCGCTTTATTTTTAATCACAATAAACTACTATTTTAATTAGGTTAAAATGTTGCTAAACTCTTTAAAAGAGCGTTAAAAGCTACATATAAAGAAAAAATTTTTTTGAAATTCAACTAAAAGTAAAAGTTTTGGGGTGTTATCATGTCAAGTGAAACACACTGTATATGTATATTTTCGGTATATTTATATTCACAAATTAATAAATGTTTGTTGTCATGATATCCTTAACACATCATGTAAGATTAATATATTTTTCTTTCATTCACTTAATTATTAATAATTTTTTACAGGAAATGAAGGCTCAAGTAATGCGAATATTGCAAGCAGTGGGACTTCAACATCTTCAAACATCTATTTTCCTCAAAATTGTCAAAAACGAGCCCCAAGCACACTTTCGTCTGCAAGTTTTTCAGCATCTACTGATTTCTTAGTTATCCCTAAAATAAGGAAAACAAACGCACCAACTAATTTACAGAACTTTGTTGTTCGAACACCTGCAGATAAAAGCAAGAAATCGACAAACAAATCGCAAAAGCTGTAGTTGCAACTAATAGTAGCTTTAGGTGTATGGACAATCTGCAAGTTAAAAAGGCGATCGAATTATTAAGACCTGGTTATAGACCTCCTTCAGGAAAAACAATATCTACAATCCTTTTACAACAAATTTATGAAGAGAAAACAAAATGTTTTGGAAGTCTTACGGACAAAGCGTAAACATATCTATCGATGGTTGGTCTAATGTCCACAATGATCCTGTAGTTTGTGCCACAATAACCACTGAAGATGGACACGCATTCTTATATGAAACAATAGACACATCTGGAAATCCTCACACAAGCGATTATTTAACTGAGATTGCCTTACAATTTAATGAAAATCAATATTAATTGTTTTAGAAACTACCCGTTTTGTACTAAAATGTTTATTTTTCAAGAATGTTAATGGTTGATTTACATTTTGTAATAAATAGTATTTTTATTTTCAGAATTTTCTTTTGATTTAAATCATTGAAAATAAAGAAATCACTTCATTAACATCATGAATTTAAATCCAACGATTTAAATCGGGCGAACACTGCTAGATTTCAATATAAAAGTCAAGATAATGAACAGTTCTTAATGAATTTTAATATTGGCAACGTAATAGTCAAATATAGGCCCTAAAACTATACCCTGTGCACCTCAAAATCTATGAAAACACATATGAAGCATTACTCAGCTATCAAAATGGCTCCTTTTTGTGAACAATGAAAGATATTTGGAGTGACTTACCCAAAGGGGATCCAGCTATCTTTGTTAGGGCTTTAACCGTGGTCAGTCTAGTTATCTCGTTTCTTAGTCTATCCAAAAATAGAGGCAAACAAAAAGGTAATTCATTCTTCAGATGGTCTCCGAGATTACACACCACCTGGCCCATTGTAGAAATTGCTTTCTCTTTGACCTCCTGATCAATATCAGCTGTTCTAAGTCTAACTAAAGTGCAACTGTAGATATCTTTGGTAAACGGTGTAAAATCAAATCCAGAGTTAATGTTCAAGGGCCTGATAACTTTAACAAGCTCTTGGAGGACATTTAAAGCTTCAGCGGTTATCTTGTAAAAATTGTCACCAACTGCACTGATGACGGGTGGGAGCAGAATGCTGATGTGTGGATGGAAAACTTGCGGTTGGTGGCTAGTTAGCAAACAGTAAATAAACGATAGGGCATCTATTTTCATATTGCTGCTAGCGTTCTTTTCACTTAAAGAATACAATATTCCTGGGATTAAATCTCCGATGTGGGTGCTCAATGCTCCTGGTAAGACGGAACAAACTTCTTTCAATAATTGGAAGCAATCTTGTCTCGTTTTCATGCTTTTCTCACGCATTTGACCCTGAACGCCTTTTACAAGCAATTCAATTTGTTGTTGAAGTAAAGTCATAGGGGTTTCCTCCTCATCATCCATTACCATCGCATTCGGATCCATATTAACATTCACAGTAGATCTAGTTTGCTTTAGTAATGCGATATAAGCATGAAATATGTCTGACTTGACATTTTCTTCTCGCTCTATCAAACATACAATATACAATTATAAAATTGAAAAAGTTTATAGTGGGCGGGAAAAATATGGAAGAAATTCAAAATTGAAAAATCCTCGGACTGATCGACTTTATTTTATAAAAAATACACTTCGACATGTTGACATCATTACTCGAAAACAAATGATGGTCGCAAAATGAATTTGATAAGAAAATGTGAATTTTTATAAAATAAAATTGTCCTGCCAGGGAATTTTGCAAAAAAAAAATTGATTCGGTTTTAATGATTGATCCATGCTTTGGCCGCTCACTGTACTGATTATATTACATACCTTTGAATCTAGCAATAAGGGCAGGAGAGAGAACTTTATAAAATTCTGGAAGAAGCTCACGAGTTGAAATAATAGCCTCGAGACATTTGGCAGCAGATCTTCGTACCTTCCAACTCATATCATCATCATCACTATATTCATCGTTCTCTTCTTCTTCCTCATCTTCATCATAAGCATCAGCTTGGTTATGTGCACTTTCGTCTTCATCGTAATTATAGTTTGGATCGAATGTCATGTATTTTAGGCAAAGATCTGTTATCTGAAAAGATGACACAAATGTGAATAATAAAACCATTTATTTCTGTTGTGAAAATTGTGGGTCCAAAGATCGTTTTAGAAGAGAACAGATTTCTTTATGCAAAAATTATTCCATGTTCCATTGTATTTTGCTCATTAGTTATACAAAGCTGTCCTCATTTAAACGTAACAGGTATGATACGGAAAACTTACGGATGGTATATTAGGTGTGATCTCTTTGGGGCATCGGTTAATAAAACTTTCAAATGCCTGCAGGCAGAATTCTCGTAACTCATCATCATCTACTTGGCTACATTCTAATATTAGTGGCACAAACTTGTCGATATGCTCTCCAAACTTGTGTCCAGACTGACGGCTGAGAACAGTAAAATGCACTTTGAGTTAATAATTCCTCACGAGTAAAAAAAAAAAGAAGTAATTTACTTACCATACTGCAGCTACACACTGGACGTAAGTCCTTACTTGTGAATTATTTTGATCCGACATTAAACCATCAAACAAGTGGTCGATAAGTTTTTCGTACAGTGTGTTATTACACGATAAGACCAGATTACTGCAAGCACTAATAGTGCGTTTCCTAACTGCCTGACGTTGGGAACATAATTGTGGTAATAGTGCTGACAATATTTGACTGTGGAAAGCCTGAAGCACTGGTCCAAATCGTAGTAACAAATCTGTAATAATGTCGGAGCTTCTAGCTGCACCGAAACATCTTCTTGCTGAAAATTAGTTAAAAACATAACATGTCAGACGCCTCAGTCACATTTGCAAGAAATAAAAATTTTATTTATGTCAACAATGCACTTTAAAATTGTATGTTATGAATTTGTGCATGGTAGTCAAGTGGGTAAAGCGCATATAGCTATTTATTTGGTATCAAACGTCGATGGTTCGATTCCATCCTAGAGCAAGTTAGAAATTTTATTTGTAATTTGTTTCGGACTGAGATGGAAGAGGAAATTGTCAATGACCTAGATGTAGTTGGGGCTCCACAATAAACCGCAGGGCTTCGTTTCTCTTGACCCAACACGAAATCTAAGATATTCTGGGGGTCACTTCGGCGACTTGAGAGGCAGTTAAAAAACATATTAAGAAAACAAACATTTCCGGTTTACAGGTAACATTTTCTCTAAATTGATTTGATTTTTTAACGTTCAGTTCCCCTCACAAAATTTGACCCTGTAAATTATTTTTTTAAAAGGTGTGTATATATGACCATTTTGCTAATTACGTTACTAACCTCAAAAATTATTTTCAAAAAATCATGACTACACAATTGGATAGGTATACAAACTTACTAGAAATCAGAGATGGGATATGCATCGGGTGCAATTGTTTTTGCACTTTCGCACTGTGTTCATTGAAATTACTGCACCCTGCACCCAAAATGGGTGCAAAATGGTGTAATAATAAGCATCCATATTTTTTTTATCAATGGTCACGGGTCATTGCGACTAGCATTGTAACAGTTGTCTAAAGACATCTTTATTTTACTTTTTTTTAGGTTTAATGACTATCAAAACTAAAAAGTATTAAATCTGATTTGAGAGAATAAGACAAAAAATTAAATCTTTTCATTTTAATATAAAATATATCTTAATAAGCAGAAAAATACTTCACCTGACATGGATAATGTTCCCTGGACTATTATAAAGCAACTGGAATATGCAGTACATGAGTATATAATTAAAATATTTACATTCTGCATAAAAAACAATCATTTTCCGAGTGAATGGAAAAGAGGAGTGATTATAAATATTCCAAAAACGAACAGTGACCAACAAAAACCAAATGGTTATAGACCGATTACTTTACTGCCCATTTTAGGCAAACTTTTGGAAAAAATCGTCAGGAATAGATGGTATAGCATCATCAGATCAAAAATACCAACTCATCAATTTGGTTTCCGAGAAAATTGTGCCACCACACATCCTTTAACTATTGTTACATTTAACGTGCAAACAGCTATACACCAAAACTTAAAATCAGCTGCAGTCTTTCTAGATATTAAAAAAAGCGTTTGACACTATATGGCATAAAGGCCTACTATATAAAATGAAGAAAATAGGCACCCCCGATTACTTGGTGCACTTTACTCAGCAATTTTTAGAAAACAGACAAATATGTGTTAAAGTCAATGAGGAAAAATCTGCCAGCTTCATCCCAACTCAGGGATTACCACAAGGATCGCCGCTATCACCGTTACTTTACAATATCTATTGCTATCACATCTCGCAGCATCAAAATGCAAGTCACGACAAAACCTATATTTTGCAGTATGCGGACGATACGGCAATTATATCCCATGGCAAAACAATTACTAAAGTAATTGAAAATTTACAGCCAAAAATTAAGGCGACAGAGGATTGGTTTAATAAATGGAGACTAGTACCCAACCGCTCCAAGACACAATTTACAATTTTCAATCACCCAGTAACCAATACATCTCCAACAATAAACATCGGCAACCAGCAGATCAGTCCATCACAGTCATCCATATATCTAGGTATAACCTTAGACCATAAACTAAATTTTAATATGCATACTGCTTCAGTGAAGTTAAAAGCCAAAAATAGAGCCAAATATTTCCGGGCACTGACATTTAAAAAGGAGGGAATTTCGACAAAATCTGCTTCCATTATTTATAAATCCATTTGTCGACCAATTATAGAATATGCAAGTGTTTTATTTATGACCTGTAGCAGAAACTGCATCCTTAAGAGCTATTACCAAAATGAGGCATCCAGATAATCCTCTACACAACCCATCAAACGAACTTCTCTATACTCGAACACATATAAAACCAATAGACCTTCGTTTCATTCCAAGATTTATCGAATAGGTTTGTGTCTCGCCCCCACAACATCGAATTGATTCAACCCCATTGCAGAATTCGAAACAGGCAGGCAAGATCTAAACTTAAATTCCCAGAGCGGACCCTTTACAAGGAGATTCAGGCTTCAGTCGAGGAAGATCTACGATTAAATATATAATATATAGTATCCAATTTTTAAAATTTTTCAATTTTTCAATCTTGTTTTTTTTTTCTAAATCATGTATTAATTTCTCATTTCAAAACATAAAATATTTTTAATGTAACAGGCACTTTGTACAAAAATTATGGGCTGAAGGACAATGGCCTTTTGGGGGTAACTAATAAATAACGTTTATTATTATTATTATTATAAAATATAGTTCCATAATAAAAATCAAATAACACTCTTTGTACAAGTTAAAAATAATTAAATAAACAAATAAATCTCAATTCTCTAAAACTTAAAAAGTTAAAAATAATTAAATAAACTATGCACCGGATGGAATTGTTTTTTGCACCAGGTCCATTCTTTATATTTTTCAACTGAAATTAAAACGTTTGGCATTTTCAAAATAAATTTTAAATTTCTCAGTTTTATTAATTTGAAACACACACCCTATGATAAAATAAATAATTTTTGAGGTTATGACGAAACTGCTGAGAAAAATCGTTATATTTAAAATCTCTTATTACACCCATGGGTGCAAACGAATGCACCGCACCTAGTGCAAACGATATTTTCACCCTTTTTTTTCACCGCTGCCTACCTACTTACTAGAAATATATTTAGAGAATCCGGAGGTTGAGTGGTAGAGCATTTTTAAAATATCTTGTGCCATAAATATTATTGTCGGATTTTTGGCTTTGGTATATTAGAAATACGTACAAAATGTCATTTAAATTTCTTCTCGGTTTTTTGGAGGTTATGTGAATGGTAAAAACAATGACAGTGACACTAGTTACAGTTCATTTTGACAGCGATGCTAAGAAATACATGTTACTCATATAGTATGGCAGTAAAAACTTACGAGTATAAACTTCACCAATATGAGACTAACGTAAAAATTACAGGAATATGTCAATATTAAATTTGCAACATCATGTGAAGATTAAAGCCTGCTCCAGAGATCCAGTGTTGCTCGCAACAGTCCCCCACCACTTATTTTAGTTTATTTTGTTTTTTTCGTCCATTATAACTTTTTCGTCACAGGCACATCACAGATTATGTTGCAAATATTGCGGGTGTCGCTTGTGAAGTTGGGAAATTCTAATTTCACTATTCAATGGAGAGGAATATCGAATTTCATTGGATGAAAAGTCAGGTGACTTAGTGTTGCCAGCAACACATTATCTCAGACCGGCTTAAATCAATGTAATATATATACAGGGTAATCCTTGATTCAGGAACCAATTTTGAGACAAAATATCAAATGAAGTTTTGTCTTTAACTGCTTTGCAGTTAAAGACAAACACTATGATTATTCAAACAAAAAAAAAAAGGTTTGGAATTTTAATACATATTTTAAAAAAGTACAAAAAAAATATCTGAATCTTTGATAACAATGCCGTTTTGATCATTTCTTCTTTTTTGGACGGAAAGTACTAAATTAACTTAATGCTGTTTCTACTATTTTAATACACCCCAAAAGCCTCAATTTGGCTCAATGGCTCCGTGGTCTAGAGGTAACGTGACTTGCCTCGAAACCTCGGGGTCCCAGGTTCGATTCCCGGTCGAGGAACTGGGATTTTTCGGAAAGAGACATTAATCCCAGTATACCTACTTGGATATTGGATGTGTGTCCATTGTCTCTTAATGTGTAACCCTCTCCCGCACAAAGCAATTCCAAAGCTTCAGGGATAAAGGGGGTTGTAATTACATGTGGTATTATTATTATTATTACACTCAAAATGGCTTGTCGTACCAAAAACTCAAATGATCTTTTTTATTTAGTAATGCAGATAGTGATTAGAAAATATATATCAAAAAACTTGCAACTTACTCTTTCTATAGCAGTAGTTAAACGTCCAGTGATCCGTTTGCAAATATTTCCTGAGAGTCCTCCAGAAGCTTGGGGCAATTCAGCGATGACCGTTTTAAGGCCAATACTGGATATATCTCTTAACTGTTCTTTATCAGATACCATATTAGCACAGAGAGATTCAACAATAGTTTCTACCTGATATTCTTTTACTTTATTAACCAGAGGTCCCAAACTAAAACACATTAGATTAAATAATGAAACCATGAACTTGTGGGCTTATTACCATTTCACTGCAAGATTCTGGACCTCCCCATTCTTATCTTCTAGCAGTTTAAGTAGCATTCGAACAACTTTTCTTTCGGAATCATCATCAAGTTTGATACTGTCCTTTTGTAACTCAGTCATTAAATCATTAGTTGCCATGAATCGAAAATCTTTGTCTGAGGAAGTCATCTGTAGGCAGTAATTGTTAACATTAAAGATATGTTGATAATAACTTTGTACCTACTAACCTTTTCAAGCAAATTTGCAATTTGGTAAGAAACACTTGCCATGATTATATTTAGAAATACTTTCACAATTAATAATAAAAAGTAATCACAGAAATCAGTATAAAATTAATAAAGTATTAAATATAATGTATGTACATTTCATAAAGTTTTTAGGTTAATTATAGATAACGAATATCATGTTATAGATACATAGCACAATATTTACAGTTATACTTATTTTTTTCCCCTTTGCAAGCTCGATTATGTACAAAACCCAGCGTAACAATATTTTTTGTAAATTCTTGTTCTTGTACAACATACAAAAGGTATGGGTACTAGTTCACTTAATTCATATCATTGCCAACTGTTTTCGGTATGCATTTTTTGCCGGTTCACAACACACCGGTTATTTTTAATTTTATTAATTTTAGTACTATTTTTTTATCAGCACTCAAATATACACTCAAATTACTAATATATTGAACTACGCAATAAAAATTTAACAATTTTTTGATCCTTCAAAAAATGTATATGAACAATGAACCTCAGTTACAAGCGGCAGGTTTAAAAATATTAAATGTTAAAATTAAATTATGGATCAAGTAACAAACAAATCTAGGATG